GCATGCATAAATGAATTCAAAAAATAATTTCTATTTTTAATACAGGCATACGAAACTTATTTACAAAAAACTAATTTTAAGAATTTCGCATAAAACTAGTTTTCTAAAAATTTCAGTAAAAGTTGTTTTTTATAAATAAATCAAATCAATCTCCTGAAATTAAATTTTTTAAACATAAATGGAGTACCGTGACGCACATAAATATGATTCAGCATTTTTATACACCACAAAAAGTTTCAAACTTCTTTAAAAATATTATTCAATTTATAACCTTAAATGTCATTCGATTCCCAAGAAGTTATAAAAAAATGTGAATAAGATTTTCACGAAGTTACTAAAGTATTTCTAAATCATTAGTTTACTTTAAAGAAATATTGTTACATTCTGATGATCCGCGCTTTCTAAAGCACAAGGTATTTTCAGCAGTCCGCTAGACTAGTTTCGGCAGCACGAACCCATACCGTAACTTCCGCTTCCAAGTAATTGCGAACTTGTGTGTGGCAACATGGCTTATAGAACCGCTGAACTGCCATAGAGTCTGAACTTGATATTATGATGCAAGACGAGCTAACTGCTTTGAAGAAGAACCTTCAAGCATAAATCTTATTCAAAATGAAATTTCTCCAAGAACAAGTTGTTGCCAAATCAACACTATTTACTTTCCCTTCTTCTTAGATAATAAAAACAGGCTTTAGTCGGGTCAGTAATTTACAATAGAAAACAAGAAACACGTTGAATATTTTTGAACGTCGTGATTTAAGAATTAAGTTAAGCAATTTTATGCCAAGGTTTTTGCTTCTGAAAACTTGTTTACATTTGCGAAGTTAAAAATAGTAATAATAAAAAGGTAATAAAACATAATAATAATAAAACAATTAATAAAAAACACAAGAAAGACGAATAATCCATATATATAATTAACAAAAAAAAATACTATCAAAACTCTGCTTTCATTATTAAGTAGTTTAACCTGGAAAATAAGCTTATCTATAATTTTACCAATAATCAAGGTTAAAAAAGGCAGTGTAAATTAAATCAACATGCGAAAAAAAAGAAAAGAAATAAACGCACTATATAACTATCGTAAAATAAATATGGTTAGAAATGGACAATTTTTTTTAATAAATGGCCAAAATATATTTGCGACATCTTTGTAATCCCATGCAAGTTTCTTTTCTTTTTTTATATTTTCCGCAAACAGTTTTGTTTCCCGCTGATAATTTGTGATAATAAAACAAATTTTTCAAAACGATTACTAGTGTTCTTAGTCTAATTGTTATCTTCAAATTACAAATGTTCAGTAACTTGCGTTATGTCGTATGCTCTATTCTATGCTATAGAGAAAAATATAGGGGTTGATGTAAGAAAAGAGTAGGGATTCTTAATTATGTTAGTTAATCTTCTGTAAGTCTTAAACATTATATTAGAGCATATAATACTTTTCATATTGAGTCCTTTTTTCAAGCTATCTAATTACAAAGCCTATTATTAATTACAAAGGGATTAAATCTGTGAAACGTGCTTCTTTCAAATCGGTAAATCTCATTTAGTTACATTACTTATAGTTACAGTCAACCTTTGATTTACCGGAAAAGAAGATTAACAGGTTACATATTAACTGAATGTTGTCTAATTACAGAATTTAGCATATTTAATGCAAAAGGATGAAAAGATTATTATCACAAATTATCAGCGGGAAACAAAACTGTTTGCCGAAAATATAAAAAAAGAAAAGAAACTTGCATGGGATTACAAAGATGTCGCAAATATATTTTGGCCATTTATTAAAAAAATTGTCCATTTCTAACCATATTTATTTTACGATAGTTATATAGTGCGTTTATTTCTTTTCTTTTTTTTCGCATGTTGATTTAATTTACACTGCCTTTTTTAACCTTGATTATTGGTAAAATTATAGATAAGCTTATTTTCCAGGTTAAACTACTTAATAATGAAAGCAGAGTTTTGATAGTATTTTTTTTGTTAATTATATATATGGATTATTCGTCTTTCTTGTGTTTTTTATTAATTGTTTTTCGATTAACCGTTATTTTAAATTAACCTTCGTTGCCGTTCCCGATGTTAGCCCGATAATTGGGGAAGTAAACTATATTTTGAAGAACATTACAGATCATAAATAAAGAGCGGGTTTTCGGCCTCCTTATAATTACTCGTGTTTTAAAATAAAAAACCGCAAAACCCGAAATTTTGAAAAGCTTTTTTTCTGACTACCACATCCAAGTGTTTATAGATCAAGATCCATCTAGAAAATTGCATCTATACTCGCTACCATTCAGCCATTTTCATGAGGTTTCCTTGCTTATTGATCGGCATGTTGACTTATTAAATTTTCAGTTTTACGTGTTGCTTGTAACGCCCATGTGCATTGGTATAGTCATCCTGTTCTTCCCTTCTTCCCAAAAAACGTTCAATACTTTTTATGTTACTGATAATGAAGCCTTTTATGCGTTGTACTAAAGGAGAAAAAGATGCGATATTTATACGTATCATCCATATTTTATTACTCAGTCTTCATCTGAGAGAACTGCAAATGGCTCCAGGATACATCATAATACATCCTAAAATCTCTGATTTCGTCTGAAATGCGATCGAATTCTGTTTATAAACCAGACTGTACACGGCGAAAGTCGCACACTTATGTGCACCCACTTCTAAAACGACACAAAAATGAAATGATGTAACCTGTCACTAAAAATTAGTATTTAAATGTAAAATTCTGAAGTTTTAAGAAAGAATTTAATTGGTTTGAAAAGATATTTTAAAGCAGTTAATTAATGTAATATTAATGCAAGGTATATCTAAGTAATAGTAAAATAACTAAAAAAGTTAACTGAGAAAAACATATGTTTTAAAGTTCGTACGTTAGGCTATTATTACACATATGCCTTCAATCTGCATGAATGTATGTATGTTCCTCGCACTGTGAAAAATCAACGGTACCTAGAGCAAACGTAATCCTCCACGCAAACATGCGCACCTGCAAGTCCAAATTTTGAATTTCGAATTAGTTTTATTATCTCTTTCTTATTTTGTAAAACTTTAACGAATTTATTATTAACAAACGCAATGATTTCAAAGCAAGCAATAGCAACACTATACGGAAAAAACTTTTTATCTACAGTGTGCGAGAATGTCTTGGGCGTAATGTAAAATTGGCGGGTTTTTTTTTCTATTTTTTAGTCATACGCTTCAAAAGTTGGATATTGATCGATGGAACTTGCTAGTATTTGAATGATAAGAATGGTGAACGCTAGTAGTTCGACTCGGATTCCAGTCGGACTGAACGAACTAATTGCATGTGAAATTTAATGACGTTCCTCAAAGTGAATATGAACCAGCTCCCTTAAAAGGTATTTCATGAAGGCTTATCTTTCCTTAGGATAATTCTCGGGTGCTTTGACATAATTCGGACCTAATTCAGTCTGATCACTGAGCAATTCAAGCACAGTTTACTAAAATACTTTGTTGTCAGAAAAAACTTATCATTCTCTGAGACAATATTCCCAAAGCATGTCGCTAAAGCCACATAACAGTGTCTGCATATGTATGACTTTGCAATATCAGGTTTGGGAACATCTGGTTTACCTCCCCAACTTTAATTCCAAGTCTTATCTCCTCACAATTAATGTAAGTATAATCATGTTTAACAGACTTGCATTATATCGAGAGTAAATAGCAGATTTTATCGTTAAGCAATTTTATACCGTTGAGAATAAAACTGATGCTACAATTCACACATTTACTTAATATATATTATTTAACTCTTTGCTGCATCATGTCTACTCTAGTAGACAAAAGTTTAAATTTGTTTATTCTTCTGTAAATGCCTTAACAGATTCCATTCTTGTGTTTATTCATTCTATATTATTAGAACTTTCAACTGTCGATCATAGATGGCTGAATAACATCACTAAGTAAAGCATTGCTATTTGAAAAAGTGGCTGGTACTTCTGTTTCCAAGTTAGTACAATTTCACATAGTAAACATTATATAATAATGCTTATATTTTCTTATACTGCCAATTTTTTTATTCATATTAGTAATTTTAGACATTTTATTTTAAATGTCAGTTTGAGAAAATTGTGGAGTGGGTAGATAAAGATCTACCGAAAAAGGTGAATTGAAACCCAAATATACTGCTTATCAAACCAGAAACCACTGGAAATGTTTAAGTTTGGCAAGGAATTTTTAGAACATTTGACATTTGAATCCAATAGGTACAGTTTACAAAATCGTAGCAAAATGAATTCAATCACAATCGATGAAATGAAGGTATTTTGAGGGACCTGTATGTACATGTCAGCTGTAGATTTACCATTTAGGAGATGGTAATGATCACTACAAACAAGGCAAGAAATGATTTCAAATGCAATGACTGTAAATCGTTGGGAAGAGATTTGTATACATGTACGTATATGCATGGTATCTACTGCAGTGAACAAACTGTAGCAACTATTTAAAACGAAATTTGAATAAAATTAATTTTTTTATTATCACTAAGGTTATTTTAAGTAGAAAAAATACAAACATTTTCGTTTAACTTCTCTAGATTATTTGTATGCAACAAAGAATTAAATAGTTTATTTTGTTCACTGTATGAGACTCTGAAAAAATAGAAGATATAATTTATAACTGATATCATTAAAACAATCTAAATATTATTGTATTTTAATGAAACAGAACAAAACCATTTAGTAGAGATGATATATAGAAAGATTACAAAAACTTCATCTTTTTGTAACTATGTTAATTAATTAATTTTCGAATAGTACACCAATCCATACAAGAGGACTTTCGTCTCGCCATATACTTAGAGTGCCTCCATAATGCTAAGACACTATACATTTACAAACATTCATACCTTCCACTGGATGTGAACCCAGGTCCTTCGGTACAGTAAAGAAGTAAACTAATTGATATGTTAGCTACGGCTATTGATATGTTAGTTACTTGATGGCATCAAAAGAAGTGGTACTTACCATAATACGCTGTCATATCCATGGGATTGGATACCACAAGGCTGTAACACTTCCTCAGTTCTCGGTGAAATAGCTGCGTGCAGCACACTAAATTCACTAACTGCTGATTGTCCACTGGAATACCGTCAGCTACGTCACTGGAAAAACAAAAAATGCATTGCTAAACGTTGTTTCTTATTCCAATGTAAGTTGAAGAATTGTAATGCAAACTAAAATATAATTAAAATATCAGTTTCTTCTGGTTTATCTGAAAGTTGCTATTCGATTTTCAGTACATTTCTTTGTGTACAGATGCTTTTAAAACATTTAAATATAAGTGAATATCAATTAGAAAATACTTTTAAAATCTTCTTACGTAAAAATAGACATATCGAACATAAAAGCAAAATTAAACATAAGGAAGATCGGGAAGTAATATCGTATAAGGGAGTATCAACATTTGTAATCGATTGCCTACAGCGAAGGAAACTGTCGAAGATATTTTTGCAAGTGACTTTTTTCTTTTGTTTTACAAGGCAGTTTCATTTTTATCCTACCCTTGTTTCAAATGTGAAGCCTAAACCCGGAAGAGCTGCATATTCGACATTGCATGTCATTTGAGTTTTCCAAAGGTATTAAGGCAGTAAATGCTATTAAAACCATTTGTGATGTTTATGCAGCCGCATGATTTCCCCATAAATGCCAAACGTAGTATGCAAGGTTCAGGTCAAGTAATTTTTAATTTTGTGGCTCGCCTCATACAGGAAGACTAGTATCGCTTGATAATGATATTTTACGTGGAGAAGTGGAAGCGGATACTTATCAGACGATCAAAGAGTTATCGGATGAACGTGACACACCTTGGGAGACAATTCAAGAGCATTTGACACATATTGGTAAAACCAGCCACACGTTTTCAGAAAACAATGCTAATCGTTCAGTCACCTATAGTTTACTGTTGCAACAATAACATAAATGCATTTACTGATCGTGTTGTGATTGATTCTTTATGCCAGCACCAAAAGTAAAATATGTAATGTGGACACCACATTACTTAGGTGAACAGGTCACATATTACAGGCTGCCTGACATCGTCCGACCCTGTGTGTAATAAGGTGAAAACATTGACAGGAGTTACGACCAGCATTTCGAGGGTGGTAACCAGAATGCTAATAAACACTTCAGATGCAAAGAATAACCCTAAGTCCAACACTTCAGATGAGTTAGTGAAGATGTAGAATTCTGACCTAACCGCAGAAGGAACCAGGTGCAAGGAACTGTGGAGGGGTAGTATTGACGTCAGGGGTATAAAGTTTCTGATAAGCTGAAAGGAAGGAAAGATATTTAATAATATAGATATCAACTAAATTATTACTTGTTACGGACGATTCTCAGTTATTTTAAGACATGTGGACTTCAAGAAAATTGTCAATTTTGTAAAGTAAAAGATAATAATTGCCACTTCCTTGAATCTTGTAGTTTTACTAGAGGCCTTCTGTCCGCCCAGGGTTTTTGCTAAAAAAGCACAAATTTCCCAAAATTATTATAAGAAGAAATTATTTTCTTGATTTTGATGTAAAAATTCTCCTGGTATTTTATACCTGGGTTTGTGTACTTTTAATATGTTGTCATAATTTCTTTGACATATTTTAATATGCACGAATATATACGTTCTTGATGATATCACAAAATTATTCTAGGTCATATATATACGGCCTTGCCGGTAGGAAGGTTAATCAATTTTACAATCCGTTTTGGAAACGCGATTCCTTTATTCTGTCCGTAAATACAGATGTCACGCAAAAACATTATTCAAATAGATCGAGAGCAGTCAAAATGGATATTATCGTTGAAATATGCTACCCGAAATTTTTCGCGATTACAATATTTCCTTTAGCCAAGCTTGCAACTAAGACTTAACTAAAGAGTTAGGGGCCTTGGGGAGAGAGTTGACAATGGAGGCCCGTCTTTTTTTTTTTTTTTTTTCAGTTAGCGTTGAACATTTTCTCAATAGTTTACGTAACTTGTACACACTGACAGAATGAAACATTTTTTGATAAATGTCTCGTTGATGTATGGTTATGATTACAGTATGCTATTTTTTATTTTTGTTTAATTCTAATAATCCTGTTAAGTTAATGATATTTTAAGAATGCAGCTAACCTGTTTGCCGGAGACCAAACCCGGATGGAACTTCCACTGTTCAGCGGTCTTAACCATTCGCTCACTGGTGGGCAGTCTATATTTATCATGACGGGAAAACTTATGAACTGAGTTAGTTTTATTTGTGAATTAATTTTATTTTTGAGACATAAGAAATAATCACATTTTCCTGTCTTGCTTTTGTGATGTAAATATTTAGGATGACCACTTAGCAGCTGGGAGATTCTTGTTCTAAATCACGGCGATTGCAGTGTTTTTTTTTTTTTTTTTTTTTTTTTTTTTTTCGTTTCATTCTCCGAAAAATTTGATGTCCTTAAAATAGTAGCCTAGTAATAAACAACTATTCCTGATCACCTGAATCGGGTTGACTGGTTGTCGCATCTCACGCAGGCCTCATTTTGAGAGTGACACAAATATAAAGAATTATCGAATCTCCCCAAGCTTGCCCTCGTGATGTCGGTAGTTATTACAATCAGCTCGTATATTAAAAACCTGTGTTCAAATCTCGACGAATTAACAATTGGTTAAGTTGCCATTTAAACACAGGAAATCAGACGAGGGCATCCCGCCTATGGAGATGACTGTCTTCGTAGAGGACGTTCTAAGAGAAACTGACTCGTATTCAACGTAGAAATTCGAGAAACCATGAGAAACATCTATGCAGACAGCCCGTTTGCTTGTTTGGAAGCTCGGTTGAACGACTAGTTTTCAGCGGTCTCCATCACTCTGCCACTGATGGATCAGAACGGCTGTTTTTTTATTTTTATTTCCCACTTTAGCTGCCTAAAATACTGATTATTAAAAGGAAATAAATGACTATGATGAATCCAGCTAATATAAGTTTACGGGTCCAGCTAGTAATTAATAATTGAAATGAATCTGCGTTTATTGCTTTTAAATCGCTTAGTTTGTTAATTAACAAGAATAAGTTTTAAAAAAAATATTATCTTACGCTTTGCTAAACACTACAGATTGCCGCGGAGAAGATAAAAATATTTTATTTCCGGTTGTAGCAGCACATATCATTTAAATTTCTGAGCGCGTTCATTAAATTCGAAAGACAAATATTTTGCATTTTTTGGAGTGGCAACACACTTATTTTACATGGCTAAGTTTTCTACAAGGAAGTTAGCCTTCTATGTATGTTCCATGCAATGAAAATGAAGCTATGAAACGTCACCGGTATGGTACTTATCATGGCCGCTGTCGTACAAGGACTTCTTGTTGGTTTTGTTTACATTCTAATCGGCGTTCTCTACATGTTAGCTATTCATCATTGAACGTTTATAAGTCTCCCGTTCTAGTTTTAATACTTAACATAAAATATTTTCTTCTTAGTATATGAAAAAATCACAAGGATTGCAAATAACGTTTTCAAATTTAATAAAAATCTAGGTACATGAGAATGCGTAAATGGTGGTACCAGTTACGCATAAAACCTGGAAGATGGGTGGAAGCGTCAATGGTATTTTATATAAATTATGTCTAAAACACATTTCTCAGCCTGCGGACGTTGAAATTTCGTGTAGTTTTATTTAACAGTATGTTTCGTAGTCTTACCCGTACGCTGTATGGTGTCTATGAAATGTCCTGACGTCACGTTGCTGACATTTGCCTGTCTTCCCTTTTGTGATGTCAGGCTTACTCCATCTATTCTAACGTCTTTGGTTTCCTGACTAAATTTGAAAATAACATTATCTTTTGGCGCTTTGCTGAGTTGCATCAGAAAGCTTTTATACCACTGAGGATTAAATCAAAAGTTCTTTAAATTCGCACAAAATATGAAATAAATAAATTAAAAACCAATTCAAAATCAGGGTTTCAATGTGCTCATTAAAGTTAAGATTTAAAATAATTTATTGCTTTTTTACTCAACTTATGAAACTAAACTGTTACACCAGTAAAAGTTTAGTTTTGATTTATTAATTTAATTCACTTAAATTATTCTTTAGAAAACAAAAGCGTAAAAGAAAATGGCAGATTATCAATATGGGAGAGTATAGCTTTAATATGCTGGTTTTAAATTTCACTTTCTGAATAAATTATGTCAAGAGCAATTGCGTTTAAATGAAAATGTGCTTAAATGAATGTGAAGAGAAAAACACAAAGGACAGCAGCAGTACAGAGTAACCTTACACCTGCATTTCTCTTACAAAGACTGTTACAAACAATATATATTGTTCCTCCTTATTCATTACCTAGTTTAAGAGAAGAGTTAAATTGGATGAGAATTTCACACTGAAACGAAAACCGTTCTTCTTTAAATGGATTCTTGATCTGCCGGAGATTTTTGGAATTCCAGAAATTCTTTAGAAGACGGCTATTCTTTAGTCTGTTTATCCTATTTTATCCGCTAAAGGGGACAGAGTGAGAATATTTGTTGAAAGGAAACTTATGTAGATTCGGTAGTAACTTTTTTCTTTTTAACTTTATTATTAAAGTTCACTATTTTCGCAATTACACTCCATAAAATTCAATAGTAAGACCACAAAACTTTTAAAAGCAGTGTATAGAACAGCGTTTACCTGCATTCCTCATACAGTGTTAAATGTTGTCATTCATTTGTTTTCACAGAAAGATTGCTGTTCTCAAACTTCAATTTTACGTCGAATCATCACATTTGTTGCTCGTTTCATTTTTCAAAAAACTAGCCGCTGACGCGGGCAGCCGCCTAAAACAGTTAATATAAAAGAGGAAATATATACATATAACGCTTTTAATAAATCCAGCTACTGCCGTTTCACGGGTCCAGTTGATAATTTTTAAAAGCTGGCTGGTAATTAATAAAAAAAAGAGAATTGCGTTTATTGCTTTTAAATCGTTTAGCTGGTTTATTACTGGCAGGCAGATTAAATTAAAAAACAAACATCCAAACAGCAACAAACTAGCACATGAATGTTAAAAATATTTTACGTCAGATATCCTTAGAATTTGCGATAAAGTGTTTAATTGTTACCATACTTTTTTGTATTCTCTATATTATTCTTTTAAAGTAATACATGAGATAACATCGCTGGCAACTTAATTTTTATTTGTGTGGTATTACTTTTCATACTAGCTACATTATTCCTTTTAACTTGTAGAGACATGAGGTTAATTGGAAGCAGGAGAGATGAAAAATGAACCGCGCCTTCGCTGGGAATCGAACCACGAACCTCTGGAATACGAACCCAGAGTGCAGACCACTACACTATGAAGGCATGTCAAAAAGGCAGGAGAAATACCTTATATACTCCCTCTTTTAAGGGGCGACTGGCATTTTCAGGGGACTCAATCGCGAATTCCCCGATGTGGAGAATCATCATCCACCACCCGCTTTAGTTCGGGCCTCAGTGTAGAGACGTTAGGTATTTTTGGAAGCAGGCAAGATGAAAATGCCAAGAAGGTGGGAGAAATACCTTATAAACTTTCTAAATAGTGGGAAAAAATTGGTTACAATACCCTTTCTATTTGTTGTCATACAATTTTTAAAGTCGCTCTATTGCTTTTTAAAAATATTACTCGTTGTTTCGTTGTATGTGTGATGGTTCGACAAAACGGAATTTGGACACCACATGGAAATGAACTATAATCAGTTTATTGTAGCTAGTAGACCACAGATTACAGGAACTCTCGTATTCTGTTTCACAATTCTCGTCATCACAACTTACCACCTTGAGATATGGAGACTTTACTCCTTCACATTACTCCTGACGGCCTCTCTGACATTCTAAACTCCTTCACTGCAGACTCTTCCTCTAACTTACCCACTTGCGTTTTCGCAACCAGACATGATTACAAATCTTATGACGCCACTGCCTATGAGGCAGCAGTACCTTTTGGTGGCAACATTTGGGAAGTTCTGCGATCAAAACGTTAGGTTTGAAACTAATAGCACCTTAGGTACTAATAATTATTTTAGTTTAACTAATAAGTTTTTTTTGTTATTGCTTCGGTTCTGGTATACTTCCCTTAATAATCTTCAAGGTTTGCGAATTTTTATTATTTTTCATGTTGTTTGCTCCACTAACGTTTCGCATGAGCATTAAAATTACTGCCTTGATAATAAACAGTTTAAATTGAACGCATTGCCTTTCCTGAACAGCAAAATAATTCATGAAATCTGTCCTACTTTTATAACACAATTAATTTACATACATTGCGTTTATTACATCAGTAGAACTGCCACTATATATTAATCACTAAAACTGAGAATGAACTATTAGTATTCTAACCAGGAGAAGGCTATTTAATCTGCTTATAATTTATTGAGTCATATAAAACTGAGCCTAAATTTCAGTATTGTTAATAATATGAGATATTAATATCCTGAAAATATTTTTCATCTCATAAAATGTTTGCTGAAGATTAATTAATGATATTAAAAATTTAAGACGTAGGTATTTTTACGTTAACAACTAAAGTGAAAGTAAGAGAAAAATTTAGAAATTAACGTATGCAGACATTTCAACAGAATTTTATAATGAATTAGAAAATATTCCTAGCAGTGGAGTAGTTATTTTACAGGGATTCATGATTAATTATTGTAGAATATACATATTTTTTGTTGCGATCAATGAATTATCCATTTGATTTGAATAGTATGAGCGGAAAGTCTATCAAGATATTTCAGGGCTTTAAAATAAGCTTAAAGGTCAGTTAATTTAGTATGAAAGTATCTTTTTTTCATTAATAAAATTAGATTAAGAGGTCAGTTTGCTATTTCAAAGTTTCTTATTTATCCACTTTAGGACTAGACTATTTTTAGAGACTAAAACATCAGTTTGTACCTTTCTGTAATATATTAATTCTCAACTCCTAGAACCATCAACACAGTCTATTAACTTGTCGCCCTGCCTTACATCTAAAATACAATAAATACAAACTTAGATGAAGATTTAAATAAACCATTTTATCAACACGATAGCCTGACGTTACACAAGCTATTCAATAACATTGTTACGAATTTTGTATTTAGATAGCTAATTTGAGTAGAATTATAATTAAAATTGTTGTATTTTTCTGTCTAATGCAGAAGAGAAAGCTGTGCCGGAAAAAGAAAAAAATACAGAAGCACATGCATTTAACATCGAGTAAATGGATATCTCAGTAATTTGTATTCAAATTTAATAAATGCAATTGACCACTGTGTTAGCTGTAACTGTAACTGCATCCTCTTATTACTTTCCAGAAATCTCGAAAAGTAGAAATTACTAGAAATACCCCGTGACCGATTGAAATCTATAAAAGGCCAGGGAGAGAATATCTGAATTCGGTTGTTTAGTTAGTTGCTTAGTTACTGTTATTGCGAGTTGCAGTTCCGCGTTAACTGAGATAAATTGAAGTTAGCTTTCTCTATAAATGCGCATTGCATTGAGTTGTATTTTAATAGCTTTTCAGTCAATTAGCGTTATGGGGCCAACTCCGTTAGAATCTTGATAGCTTCGGCTATATCTTTTTAGTTACGATTAGTTAAGTTCTAATTCTTAGTTTTGTAAGTTCAAGCCCGAGTGTCGGCTTTATTGTAAAACTCCAAGACGGAGTTCTGTTAAATCTTATTTGAATAATAAAGGGTCTTTTAACCCTTTCCAAGTTTAATTACTGTCTCACGAACTCAAGCGATTATTCACTTACTAGTTCTTAAGATTCTTCACATTCAACTGTAACTTAAAGACACACAGTAGAGAATCTTACATCGTTAAGGTACAAAAATGGATTTACATTAGGGATTACATAATAGATTGTGAATACACATTTTTAAATTGTCATTTCGGAGTTGGATGAAAACATATTGTTACCTCCTGACTTGCGGCATCAGTATGTCGCTGGTTGAAATACACAACTCGAGGCACTTCCTGCGGGTCTCTTTGATGCGATCTCGAATCTCTGGACAGTCCTGGGGCTTAGCTACATGCATCAAATGGTCGCGAAACACAGCCAGGTAGTTGTTGAGTTCCTCAATGTTCTGCAAAATAAATTATAATTATGTAAGCGTTACACTATTATGTCAAAATTTATCTCTCTTAAATATTTTAATTCGCATTTCAGAAAAATTTATCTAAAAATACTTATTGAAGTAGTTACATTTATGAACGATCACACTACTCTGTCCAGGAGAGTATTTTAAATTATTAAAACAAAAATTATCGTAAAAGTACCAAAAAATAAAAATTATCTACAATGTTTGTATTTCTGTAATCAATGCACTATTTTTTAATATGTACTCCAGAATAACAGAAATTATTTGTAAATTAACTAAAAATTATTTCTAAATTAATAATTACTTCAAAATCTGTTAATGGCGTCTGTGCAAGTTTCATTACTTTTTGATGAAAAACTTCCTATTTCGCTTGCAGTTTTGGCGAATGCATAAAAAAGTTTAGAAACTTTTCAGTAGTTATGAACGATTTTTACAAACGTGTTTTAAGAAAGAAAAAATGAAAAATTTTAATTTTTGTTTACGTGTTTATTTGTAGTGTTATCTTACTACAGTTTCGTGGACAATATCCAGAACTATCAATGCCCAGTAGAAGTCGTATGCCCCTATTCGTTCAGGTGGCATGAGATCCGGATGGAGGAAATGGGGATGTCACAAGCTGATGATGCTAGACGTCTCAATGGCTCTCGCAGTGTGGTCCACCGACTATGGAATTAGTTTAAATCCGAGGATTCTGAGTCTAGAAGACATCTTACTACAGTTTCGTGGACAATATCCAGAACTATCAATGCCCAGTAGAAGTCGTATGCCCCTATTCGTTCAGGTGGCATGAGATCCGGATGGAGGAAATGGGGATGTCACAAGCTGATGATGCTAGACGTCTCAATGGCTCTCGCAGTGTGGTCCACCGACTATGGAATTAGTTTAAATCCGAGGATTCTGAGTCTAGAAGACATGTTCTGGGCAGACCTAGAGTTACAACACCTACGGGAGACGGTTATTTATATCTTTAGGCCCAAAGGATAAGTAACATAACTAAGCTCATGGCAAATCATTTAGTGGGAACAGGAACAAGAATGTCAGCTACTGCAGTGCGCAGATGACTGCACAGTACAGGTCTGTATGCGAGACGATCAGCTGTTTGTGTCCCCTTGATCCGAGGGCACAGAGCTGCTCGTTTATATTGGGCAAGAACTGGACCAGTTAAAAATGGGCGTCTGTTCTGTTCACAGACGAGTACAGGTTCACCTTGTAGAGTGATTCAGGTCGTCAGCTGATCTGGAGGGAACAACGCACCACATGCAACGAATCCCACATTGTGGAAAGACACAGTTGCAGAGGTGGTGGGATAATGGTTTGGGCTGGAATATTTCTCGGTGGTCTCACTGACCTGCATGTGTTCCATGGAGGAACTTTGATTAGAGATATCCAGACGAGATCCCTTATGTCAACACATATGCCGCTGCTATTGGTCCTGGATTTCTTCTGATGGACGACAATCGCGACTGCACCGAGTTCGGGTTGCTGAAGAATATATTGAGGATCACGGTATGGAGCGGATGCAATGGCCAGCTCAATTCCTAGACCTGAATCCGATAGAGCATCAAGGTCGTTAAATGAGCTTGAACAAAGATTACTCCGTGTCTAGTCGTTGCTTCCCATTCCACTGTCAGACAACTTAATTGACAGCATGGAACGTCGCTGCCGCCAACGTATTGAACCTAGGGGTGGACACATTCCTTATTAGAACCCATTTTTGTAATGTTACCACCCTATTTTTTTCAAAAAAGCTGTGGTATACTGTTACTCCAAGATTGGATTTCTCTACCAAGAGCGCAGTTTTTTGTTGTAATTCATGTTTGCGTTGAACTTTAGAAACATTCTATGTCTCATTCATTAAAGAACTGTTTAGTGGACATGTCCTGTAAATTTCTTGTTTCTATGTTACTTCATTCTCTCATTAGACACAAAAGACATGCTGTTTCTTAACTTTTGGAGGCAGTGCATTAAATAGCTTTAACTCGTTCCGCATGACTTATGAAGTGATGCAAATTACAACGCTTTTAATACCACGTATACTTCTAGGCAATGGCATAGGTTGTTAAACTGAATATTATTTACATCCCAAATGTATCAATTATGTGTCTTACAAACTGCGTTTCTGCGCTTAAATTTCGATGATGTTACATGCCTAAATAATTTCCTATACTATTAGGTTCCAAAGTAGTGTTATTACAAAGCGGTCTTTCAACGTATAGCAATTTTTATTTATAATTTTTTGGAATAAAATTTTGAGCCTTGTTACCACATTGCGTCTATTTGTAAGCAATAAAAGCCTTAATGATAAATTATTAACTTATGTTTCCAGGTTCTACAAATTCCAGAAAAATATCTGCTGAATTTCAGATTTAGAACAAAATATATAGAATTTCAGAATTCAGAATAATTTCCCAATTTTAGAACCTAAACAGTTTTTCTTTTTAAATTTCAGAACAATCTTTTAGTTTATGAAACAATTTTCAATTTTCGAGGACATTTAATTTAAAATTTTCAGTTTCAAATATTTTTTATGAATTTCCAAATTCAGATAACTTTACATTTCGGAAATATTTGCAAAAATTCCTCACTTCAAATTTTAGATTCATATTTCAGATTTCAACTTGAGTTAATTTTAACTAAACTTCAGATTCAATTCATATTTCAAATTTAGAAATGATAGAACATGCTAGTTAACCTATTGTTACATGGTTCATACACAAGTATTTGAATATTAGTGCCAGTATTAGATCTGGAACACATAGATGTGGTTTAAAACATTCAGCCTGAATGTTCCAGTCATATTCAGGCTGAACATTAAACGTTGATGGGCTAATTGGGCTCAAACTGAAGTTCATTTCGTAGTAAATGCTCTCTGCATTTATGAGAAGTTTATTATGGAGCAAAGATCTGCTGAGAAATTAGTTGTATATTTTTCAGAATTGTTCCTAATTAAAGAGAATGTATGTAATTTTCCTCTAAATGCAGACACAGTTTTCAGTGAAAATATTAACGTCTTTCAATATAAATTTTAGACTTGAGTGTTATATTTTGCTTTAATATTTCCTATGATATTTTATTCGATGTTGTTCATTAAAAATAATTTAAAATTGCATTTAATATTTAAGATAAGAAGCGAATTATTCTCATACCTGCCAACTTTATAAAAGTTAAAATCATAAAATTTACAGAAAAGTCAACAAAAAAAGCGTAAAGCCAAACTTAAATGGGCATATATATGAGATATTTACTCGGGCTTAACATTCATCATAAAATATAGAAAGTTAGATTTAAATGAAATTAATTCCAACATATTTTGAATCGGCATTTTCGTGGTTTTTCCCATGTGTAACGTGGATGTGATTCAGTTTACTTTATAAAGACTTCCACGGGGCATCCCTGCCTTTCCATGTAATGTCAGAGAGCGAAGCACGTAAAAATATCAATAACGTTTCTTCTTTTAATAAAATACAATTTTAAAATAAGTTTTAAATACGTTGATTCCGAAATTTAAATAAGATGATAAATGTTTGTGATAATGTTTATCATCTTATTTAAATTCAAATTCAAGAGATTTAAAATATTTAAAATGAAAAACAAAAGTAATATTAAACACGGCAGAGGAAAATGGAAAATTTTCAGTTAATGTTACTTTAATAAAAAATGTAACTTTATTATAGGATTTTTATTTTAATAAAATCATAATAGCACTATTATATTTGTTGAAAATATCATCACAAAATTCATAAATTATCGAATCAAAATTTTAATTCAAAACTGATCTTTAAGTCGCAGAATTACTGAGAAATGTACAAACTTCATGACAGATAATAAAATTCTTTTTATCCGAAAAGGGAAGCAACTTTTCTTTTAAGTAATAAAGAGGATGAAGTTAAGTGACAACCCAAATATAGGCCAAATTTATGAGCCTAATATAAAATGAGAAATGAAAACATTTACTTAAAAAAAATTAAGTTAAATTAAAAATATTAAATAAAATTGTGCCAGTATTGCGATTTGTTGGAAATTAAAAATTTTTGGCTCCTTCATAAAAAATATCTAAATTTGTTGGAAATTTCACGCGTAAAATGATAAAATCAGCATACTTTTATATAAATTACAAAGCATTGAGGAAAAGTCGGCAGATATGAATTGACGGTAGTGATGATGAAATTAAAAACTGATTAAATACAAATAAACTATGAATACATTAATTAAGTATTACGTTTTTAACATTTAATATGTTTGCTGATTTGACATAATTGAATAATGGGGATTAACGGGGAGATTTTGTTTCAGAGCAATATGCGATTTTAATCTGATAAAATCCGAATGAATTGGTTATCCGATATCTCCTAAAGCTCCGAACGTGCTGGATTATCACGTTACGGTTTTTGCTACACACGTCTGTGATACCTCATGACATAGAATATCTACAAATGCTGTTTATGTCGCGAAGTCTGTGACATTTCGAGGATATGTTCATTTTCAGATGTCCAAAAGACTTTGAAATTTGACTTTCTGAATATGTCTTGTTTAAGTTGCTTTGCTGTGGGATATCGGATGATGTCTTGAAGAGCTCTGAGCTACGTTTAGGATTTCACCGTTTAATATCTTAAGTATATGTGTGCTGCATGTTCTAGAGGATTTACGTCATTAGGCATTTTGAGGATATTTATTCTCAATTCTAGTAGTTTGATTTTTAAAATTGATAGAGAATATTCTCGGGGTACATTGAAATTATGTATTAAGGGAATCTTCCGTTATTTTTGAGGATGTGGCAAACAGGAGTTTTAACTCTTTGAAGACCCTAACGCCCCAGACGGCCTTTCATTCAAACGACCACAACCGCCCCAAAACGGCCGAAATTCCGATGTTGTTTTCTTCCCTCCCCTAAGGTAGCAGGTTCATTTTCCCCAAATGCATTGTTTCAGTTTTTTACAGACAGCTTGTCCTAAAAGGATTTATTTATGGTTTCTTATCTTTATTTGTTAGGAAACAGACAGGATGAGATTTGAAATCTTCACTCTTCTTTGTGCGTTAATGGATGGGGAGGGGAGGAAATTACTGCGATTCTCCGAAAACCTTTTCGGGCGGTTCGGTATTTTATGCGTACAGGTTAGCGAAAACTTCGGTTTTCAAAGAGTTAATGGTCACATCCGAGGAAAGTGGAGAACACTTTATGAGATATTGACATACACAACCGAGATGATGTGTTAGAGGTATATTTGGGGTTGTTTCGAGGCTACAGTAAGTTAGAGGCTCTAATGTCACAGTATCCCGTGTACAGTAAAAAGACTCAACAGGGACGTCCTGAGGGTATATTGAGATACTGATACATACAGTCGAAAGGATGTGTTAGAGGGATATTTCTCAAATCTTGACGATATGATAAACAGGAGTTTCAATGTTCATATTATGTGCACAGTCGAGAGGACGTAACTCGTGTATTCTGGAGATATACTGAACTTTTGTATAATACAATTGGCGAGGTACGCTATGTGGAAATTTTGAGGACTGGTATTCCAATGCTGACTATATCCAGCATATTTGATCATCTGGCAACGCTTAAAATGCCAGATGATTGGATTTTTACTGTATCACCGAGTAAAGGAAATGCATATTTGACATATGCATTTATAATCTAAGAAGATCCAACAAAGATTCTTAAAACTTTCCCTTTACCGCTAAACTCTTAATCGTATATATTTTAAGCATTGCCTGCGAGAACTTTCTAATCTTTTGCTTTAAGTTATTTTTTACGTTACATTACCAGTTCGTCTTTTGCATTAATGTTTCATAAACAGTCATGAAACTTTTATCTTAAGCCTTCCCAGTTAAATGTTATAATTCTTTCTTCTTTAGACTGTTAAGATTTGTCTTAAATATTTTTTTGAAGGTGAGCTTGTTTTGCTTGGAATTAGCAAAGTATTTACAAAGGTGGTTATAAATGTAGATAATATTTTATCAGAAATGCATAGCTAATAGAAAGGCCTAAGTAGCTTGTTTACTGTTAGAGTAAATAAGTTTACGTAAATACATGGTTTAAGTGATAATGCTTGGTTCAAACGTCTTCTGTAATTTTCATTTTCAAGTAGTGAATAAAAGCCCAAGCCCTTCAATGTAACAAAAAGGAAATGTAATTTTTCTCATAAAAATATGTATAATATACATACAAGGATTAAAAAGCTATGTCTAAATTAAAAATTTCGGTAATTTTCAGAATCTCCTATTATTTACGGGTTCCTGAACTAGGACACTTTTAGAGAAATTCAAATTTTCAAAATAAAAATGTCTTAAAAATGAGAACATGCACAAAAGGAATTTTTTAATGACACGATGATTTGAAAAATTAACGACAACAATTATATCAAAAACACATTAACACCCGAAAGAGAACAAGTTATATAAAAAAATTTAGCATGGATGAAGTTAAAAATATGCACACATTCTTAGTAAAAAATACGCATACTTAAAATAATAAAAAAATGATTTTTGATCAAATACATAAAAAATGTTTCGCTATCTTTTTGAGAGCAGTTTTTTTTCT